GTATAATCTTTTTGATGTATTGCTGTATTTGGTTTGCCAGAATTTTGTTGAGGATTTTTGCATCTATGTTCATCAGCGATATCGGCCTGTAGTTCTCCTTCTTTGTGCTGTCCTTGTCAGGTTTGGGGATCAGAGTGATGTTGGCTTCATAGAATGTGTTAGGGAGTACTCCATCTTCCTCAATTTTCTGCAATAGTTTGAGAAGGATAGGTATTAAATCTTCTTTGAATGTTTGGTAGAATTCTCCAGAGAAGCCGTCTGGTCCTGGACTCTTATTTTTGGGGAGGTTTTTGATTACTGTTTCTATTTCTTTACTTGTGATTGGCCTATTCAGATTCTCCATTTCTTCCTGATCCAGTTTGGGGAGGTTGTAAGAGTCCAGAAATTTGTCCATTTCTTCTAGGTTGTTCAATTTGTTGGCATATAGTTTTTCATAGTATTCTCTTATGATCCCTTGTATTTCTTTGGTATCTGTTGTGATTTCTCCTCTCTCATTGCTAATTTTATTTATTTGAGATTTCTCTCTTCTTTTCTTGGTGAGTCTGGCCAAGGGTTTGTCGATTTTGTTAATTTTTGCGAAGAACCAACTCTTTGTTTCATTGATCCTTTCTACTGTCTTTTTAGTTTCAATATCGTTTATTTCTGCTCTTATTTTTATTATTTCCCTCCTTCTACTGACTCTGGGCTTTGTTTGTTCTTCTTTTTCTAATTCTGTTAGGTGTCGTTTGAGGTTGCTTATGTGAGCTTTTTCTTGTTTTGTGAGGTGAGCCTGTATTGCGATGAATTTCCCTCTTAGGACTGCTTTTGCTGCATCCCAAATGATTTGGTATGACATGTTCTCATTTTCATTTGTCTCCAGATAATATTTGATTTGTTCTTTAATTTCTTCAATAATCCATTGTTTGTTCAGTAGCGTGTTGTTTAGTCTCCACATTTTTGCACCTTTCTCTGCTTTATTCTTGTAGTTGATTTCTAGTTTCATAACATTGTGATCAGAAAAGATGATTGATATTATTTGAACTGTCTTGTATTTATTGATGCTTGCTTTGTTTCCCAAAATATGGTCTATTCTTGAGAATGTTCCATGAGCACTTGAGTAGAATGTGTAGCCTGCTGTTTTTGGATGAAGTGTTCTATATATATCTATTAAGTCCATCTGGTCTAATTTTTCATTTAATTCTATAATTTCCTTGTTGATTTTCTGTCTGGATGCTCCATCCATTGCTGTTAATGGGGTGTTGAGGTCCCCTACTATTATAGTATTGTTGTTGATGTCTTCTTTTAGTTCTGTTAAGAATTGCTTTACAAATTTTGGTGTTCCTGTGTTGGGTATGTATATATTTACAAGTGTTATGTCTTCTTGGTGGAGAGTCCCTTTTATCATTATATACTGTCCCTCTTTGTATTTCTTTACCTGTTTTGCTTTGAAGTCTACTTTGTCTGATATTAGTATAGCGACACCTGCTTTCTTTTGTTCATTATTAGCTTGGAGTATTGTGTTCCATCCCTTCACTCTGAGTCTGTGTTTGTCTTTGGGGCTGAGGTGTGTTTCCTGGAGGCAGCATATTGTTGGGTCTTGTTCTTTGATCCATCCTGCCACTCTGTGTCTTTTGATTGGAGAGTTCAATCCATTTACATTTAGAGTGATTATTGAAATGTGGGGGCCTACCGCTGCCATTTTATGTCTTGTTTTCCGGTTCTCTTCAATTTCCTTTGTTTCTCGTACCATGGTTTAGTCTGTTCTGATGGAGAGCTGCTACTCTCTGTTGTTGTCCTTCTACTTATCTCCTCTGCTCTTGGTTTTGTAGTCCCTTTCCTTTTTTTGATTTTTCAGGAATGAGGGTTTTCCTGAGCATTTCTTGAAGAGGTGGTTTGGTAGCAATGAACTCCCTTAATTTTTGTTTATCTGGGAAAGTTTTTATTTCTCCATCGTATTTGAAGGATATTTTTGCTGGGTAGAGAATTCTCGGCTGCAGGTTTTTGTCCTTCAGATTTTTGAATATATCATTCCACTCTCTTCTAGCCTGTAAAGTTTCTGCTGAGAAATGTGCTGAAAGCCTGATGGGGGTTCCTTTGTAGGTTAATTTCTTCTGCCTGGCTGCCCTTAGTATTCTCTCCTTGTCGTTGACTTTTGCTAGCTTCACTACTATATGTCTTGGGGTTGGTCTACTTGCATTGATAAAGTTTGGATATCTATTGGCTTCTGTCACATGAAGTTCCATCTCTCTCCCCAGGTTTGGGAAGTTCTCAGCCATTATTTCTTTGAACAGGCTTTCTGACCCCTTCTCCCTCGCTTCTCCCTCTGGTATACTATAATCCTTAGGTTGCATCTCCTAATTGTGTCAGATAATTCTCGGAGAGTTTCTTCATTTCTTTTTAGTCTTAGCTCTCTCTCCTCCTCTGCCTGCAGCATTTCTATATTCCTATCTTCCAAATTGCTAATTCTTTCCTCCATATTATCGGCCCTACTGTTCAGTGCGTCTAGATTTTTCTTAATCTCCTCTATTGTGTTCTTCATTTCCAGTATTTCTGTTTGGTTCTTCTTTATAGTATCAAACTCTTTTGTGACATAGCTCCTGAACTCGTTGAGTTGTCTATCTGAATTCTCTTTTAACTCATTGAGTTTTTTAATGATGGCTGTTTTGAAGTCATCATCATTTAGGTTGTATATTTCATTGTCTTTGGGATTGTTTTCTGTGTGTTTGTCATTATCCTTCTGTTCTGGAGATTTAATATATTTTTTCATATTGCTTGATGGTATAGATTTGTGCCTCTGCATAGAGATAGAGTTTAGTTACTGCTTCCACTTGTTTCTACTGGTGTGGTGGGGGGACCGCTGTTTATACTGCTCCAACCAGGAACCCTATCAGCTGTTGCTAACTGGGCCTGGGCCCCTCCTCGCAGTCACAGTGATCCTGTGGGTTCCCTCTTCAGCTGTGGAGGCCGTCACAGGGGGGCTTCAGACTGATGGTGCCTACTGTTGCAGACCACCTAGACATGTTCCCTCCTTAGGGTCTGCAGCGGTGTTATGGGCTTTCCCAGCGGCCAGGGGCAGGATCACTTATATTTGCAGCTCTGTCACTGTCGGCGCCCACAAAATGTCGCTTGTCCACTATAGGTCACAGCAGAGCTATGGGCATTTTCCTTAGTCTGTGGTTAGCTCGCCTAGCTATGCTACTTTTGTCCCAGGGTCTTCCAGCCTTGTGGTTGCCAGGTGGGTGCTCTCTACTAGTGCTGTGCAGAGGCTATCGCTGAGGCTTCTGTGAGACTGTAGAGTTTCCCCCTGGGCCACAGAGCTGGGTCGCTGGAACTCATTTGCTCTTGAACTCACTCTGATTAGGCATTTACCCTCACTACTCCATCAAAGAGGTGATTGTCAAGGTCACCAATGATCTCTTGATTGCTATATCCAATGGTCAAGTCTCAGCCTTTATTTTACTTGATCTATCAGCAGGGTTCGACAGAGTTGACCATTCTTTCCTCTTTGTTCAACTTCCAGAGAAGCTGGTTTCCCTTGTGTGTGTATCCCACTGGCTATTCCCTCTCAGTCTCCTTTGTTAATTCAGCCTCATCCCCCTATCCTCTAAATGTTAGCTTTCTCTTCCCTCTCCACACCGATTCTCTTGGTGACCTAATGTGGTCTCATGACTTTAAGTTGTAGCTAAACACTGGTGACTCTCCAATTTATAACTCCCAGCTGGAGTTAACTTTTCCCTGAACTCTAGACTCAAATGTCTCACTGCCTACTTGGCTTTTCCATCTGGCCATCAGCATCTTACATTATATGGCCAAAGAGGACCTCCTGATAGTCCCCCAATCTGCCCTCTCACTGCCTTGCCCGTTTCAGTAACTGCAAACACATTTAATCCTTCTAGTCACTCAGGTCAAAAAACCTGGTGTCATCCTTGACTCCTGATCTCTCATCTTCCATATCCATCAGCAAAACTTATTGATTCTACTTTCAAACCTTTGCCAGACCCAATCACTTCTTACCACCCCCACAGCTAACATTTTGGTCAAGTCACCAATATCCTTGATTGAATTATTTCAATAGTTACCTACATTTGATGCTGTGGTATGCTCCCAAATGTCCCTTTCAGGACCAAGGCTGCTGAGAGTGTCATCTGCTGAGTTCCTCCCCAGACACTGTTTTTGGCCAAAGGTGAACTACCTTACTCAAGGTTATAACCCCTCCCCAGTGGCAACCACGTCCAATGATGGGTCCCTGTGGGAGGACAAAGCCCAGCCCCAGCCTCGTCTCTGAAGGGCAACCTCAGCTTCAGAGACCGTCTGAGGACTCTGGTAGTCCTGTGTCATGTTCAACATCTCCTTTTGCCAGGTCCTGTCTCTTTCACTTTCTTACAGGTGTTGCTCCTGAGAGCACTTCTCAACAAGTTTCCTGAAAACAAATTTTCATCTAGAGTCTGTTTTCCACAGAACTTGACCTAAGATGTTTCTAACTGTAGACTGTTTTCAACAGGGTGGCTAGTGTGATCTGTTATGACATGGGTCTGATCAACTCACTCTTCTGCCAAACATCTTTTAAAGGTTTCCATTTCACTCAGAGTTAAGGACGTAACAATGTTTCAGTCACTGACAGACCACATACACGATGGTGGTCCTATAAGATTAGTACCATGTAGCCTAGGTGTGTAGTAGGCTATACCATGTAGGTTTGTGTAAGTACACCCTATGATGTTCGTACAATGACAAAATCGCCTAATGACATATTTCTTAAAACGTGTCCCTGTCATTAAGCAATGCATGGCTGTATCTTATTTATTCATCATGTTTATTGCCTAGTCCCCCAATAAAATGTATTTTCAACAAGGGCAGAGTTTTTGTATTGTTCATTGCTCTATGCCTGGAGCCTAGAACAGGTCCTGCTATGTAGAATTTTAGAAATGCATGTTTTGTTTCGTTCATGCAACTATAATCAAATTCTCATTTATGATTTACATCCACTTAGTTTAAGTATCATAAAACCACAAAGAGCATACCTGGGCTACAAAGTCTATAATTTTCCCCTTGATGTGAACATCTTCAAGAGGAACTGAATTCCCAGAGGCATCCTGAAGGCCGGACTTGATGTTGCTGAAAGGTTTGCTGTCTGGTAGCTGGTAATCTACGTATTTAAAATGATAATGTTAGCTTTCAAAACCATCCCTGCACTGTCTACTTTTGTTACCTTGATCTTTATTCCTTCCCTTTCCCTTCACACATTATATTTTAGGAAAAATGGACAAATAGCATTTGATGATTTTTCAATAGCCAATTCTCAAAAGTAAGTGAACCCACATGAGAAAAATGGGGGCACCATTCTCAACAGATACCCTGCCTTTTGGATCCAGAGACTCCTCGAAGTAATGCTATTACTCGAAAGACATACATTTAAACATACACACAAACACATAGAGGTCTGATGAATATCTAAATAAGCGTAGCTTAAGCATGAATCTAGATATCTACATTCCCTGACTTGTAATTTTGAATTGGTCAGTCACTCTTATCTTTTGTGCCACAAAAGCACGTTGGAGCAACATGAGACTCCTCAGAGCTTCAGTCCAAGGGAGACTGAATCAAATTCTTAGTATAGCATTATAAAAATGTTCATGTGCTACATGCACTATGTGGTACAAAAATACAGTTAGATATATATAATTATACACTCTTTTACCAGACATTTCATTTAATGACTCCCAGAGAAAACAGAGGAGTCATCTTCTCATATATGAAATCATAAATTTTTGATAAAAAATAATTTGATGACAGTTAGAAATGTTAATGTGTTTTTATAATGCTATTAATTAATATTCTAATAGTTTGGGCTTGTGATTTTCTGAGAAGCTATCATCCTTTCATATAAATATATGTTTTCTATAAAAATATTTATTTAAAAAATATTAGTACTACTAATATATAAGCTGCACATTACAAATTTTGGAATACCTTCATTTAATACAGATAGTGATCTTATACCAATGGGAAAGAAGCTGAAGCCCAGAAGGTTTATGCAGTTTGTCCAATTTTGCACAGCCTAGTAAGTGGCAAGTTGACACGTGAACCCAAGTTTCCTGATTCTAAAGCTGCAGTTTCTGTGTATTCCACCAATCCCCATTATACGTTTTGCACTTTGACATCTTCAGTTGGTTCAGTGGGTTTTAGTGTTGGCTTTCCTGAGGTGGACAAGCTCAACTTTAGTGTGTTAATGAAGTAATATGTAATTTTGAGATCATTTAACCTCTCTTAATCATCCTGGATTTTATTTTTATAAAATAAAAAAGGAAGTAAAAATTTATGTATGAGGTCATAGATATAGTTACCAAACATGCATATAAATTCCACTGAAAATATAAATTTGGGGGCCGGCCCCGTGGCTGAGTGGATAAGTTCGTGCGCTCTGCTTCGGCGGCCCAGGGTCTCGGCAGTTCGAATCCTGGGCGTGGACATGGCACCACTCATCAGGCCATGCTGAGGTGGCGTCCCACATGCCACAACTAGAAGGACCCATAGCTAAAAATACACAACTTTCTACCGGGGGTTTTTGAGAGGAAAAGGAAAAATAAAATCTTTAAAAAAGAAAGAAAGAAAAAGAAAACATAACAGTTGAGTTCTATAAATATCACATAAAACAGCATTCAAGAAAACTGTCTTACCTTCAACCTTTGAGAAATTTGAAAACTCAGGTCTCTGTTCCTCTAATTCAGTACTATCACAAGGATGAAAGTCCTTTATTTCATCTCCAGCTATGCAAAATTTAACAATATATTTCATTTTAACCTGATTAGTTTTATACACAACAAATTCATCATCCTAGAGCAAACAGAAATGAATAGTTAGTGAAAAAAACCCTTTATTGGCAAATGTTTTCACAAAAGCAGAATTTCACATTTGCTAGTTTAGAAAATATCGAATTCAGACGGTAGATACAACAATTATTTAAATCAAGCATATTTAATAAAAGCAGGAGCCTCTCTGCCTGTTTTTTGACATAAATACCTCGAAGTCCGTGGGAACAGTGGCTGTTCCTGGAACCCCGTGGACACTGTCATAACCCGGTGGTGCTTCCACTAAGGAGAAGTCCTTCTTGTGTAAGTCCATGCACTTTCCAAGGGCTACTTCACAGATGACCAAGAGTCTGGTGCCATCTGTCTCTCCTGGGTGGGAATACTTAGTACTTGTACTGCATGTGAAAGGAAATAAGTACATATTTATAATCTACAGTTACGTGGCAATAACACTTCATTATATATATAGGATAGATTGTTTAAAAGACTTTGCTGGTAGAATGTTCCAAATTCTACTGAACTGAAATATCTCTGAAGATTCAATTTAGAACTTCATTATTCACTTACTTATTTAAAACCTTAATGTTTCGAACACATATATTGCCCTTCTGTTGTGCTAATCAGCGCTCAAAGCACTTTGTTTCTGGGGAGAGAGGAATTCCACTGTTTCCCCTAGTCTTCATTAACTACTAAAATATACATTTTGGTATAGTAAAGAGCAGAGTGGTGAAAGAGAAGGAAAAAACCCCACCATATTAATTAAGAAAAAGTAGATTAATTCCCTGCCATAAAGTTCAGAAAGGACATTAAATGCCAAGTAAGCAAGAATTAGTGAAAGGGGAAGACAGGCACTGTATTCTCGCAAAGCCTTCAGAATCCAAATGGAAAACAGAAATTTCAAATGACATCTAAAGGAGAAATTTTGCTGTAACTTTCTTCAGGAATCAGCAGCTTTAAGAAAGCAACTTTTGCTACTAGGAACACAGGCTAGGACACCTTTAGGAGGTACACTTTTTGGACATACTTCTATTTTATCAAAGATCAAGACCAAAATGGAGAAGTGTTGCCTGGTGACCGTTTGTTCTGGCCCCTCCAAGACTCACACTTCTGTTTTTAATAATAGATTTCTCCCATTCCTGCTATAACCTCTTTCCCTGTAACTAACATGTGGCCCTTAACTTTGCCTCCAGCTTTCTCCCTCCGTCTCCTTCCTTTCCTGCCACACTCTCCACAGAGCTCAATGACTGTCTCTCCTTGCTTGTTTGCTGATTGCTCCTCAATCCACACAATTTGGCTCTATTCATACTTCTCACTGAAATCACTCTGTCGAAAGTCACTACGGATTTCAAGTTGGATAAATTCAACTGAATGCCGATTTATTTCTAAAAAATATTTTAACATCTAAAAAATTTTACTTTGAAATATTTTGTACATAGGAAAGAGCATTTGTACTGTAAATGTCAAGTTTCAAGAATAATAATTAGACAAACAACCATATAGATACCACATAGTTTAAGAAACAGAACATCATCAATATTTCTTTGTTGCCCTCATGGCATCACCTTCCCTGCCTCTCAGACGTAATCTAACCACTATCTTGATTTTTGTGTATATTATTTTTTCTTTCTTTTATAGTACTGACACATAGGTATGTGTCCCTCAACAATATAATGTTTAGTTTTGCTTGTTTTTGAACTCTGCATATATATAGAATCATATAGCTACGTTTGTTCCATGTTATGTTTCTAAGGCTCATCCATTTGACGAGGAGCTATAGTGTACTTGTTTAAATGGTCATATAGGACTCCACCAAAATTTATCAATCCATACCACCATCAGGAGACATGTGCATCATTTCCTGTTTTAGTAACCGTGTTCTCAGCCATTGCTATACATGTCTCCTGGTCAATGTATACCAAGTTCTACTAGGGTAGTGATTCTTGATCTAGGCTGCATATTATAATCACTCACGGAGCTTAAGATCTATTGATAACCAAATCTCACCCCTAGAGATCCTGATTTAATTAATGTGGGGTGTGTTAAAATTAATAAAGAAAAGCTCAACTAATATTGAAGATGGGAAGGCCTGTAGAGGGAGCTCTCATGCCCTACACTCTTTGTCAATTACAGACTCCAACAGGAAGAAGCATCAGTTACTGACCCAAGCAGGAAGAGACATACCTTGCACCCCCAAACAGGAAGTGCAACTACTTTACTACTCTAGCAGGAGGAAGGAAGACTTCTTTCTTGCCCAGCCAATGGAAAATGCCACAGCTCAGCCAATGAGAAGCTGTTGTCATCTGAACTTTTGCTTTCCTCCAATGAACTCTCATTTTTTCCTTGCTGATGACTTCTTTTCCTTGTTGCCCTCTCCTCATTATAAAAGCCCTCCAGGTTGTGTGACCCCTCGGGGTATCTCTCCGCTTGCCAGATGAGATGCTGCCTCATTCATGAGTCACTTAGATCTTCCAATTCGATCTTCAAATGTACTCAGTTTAACTGTGGTTTTTTAACACATTGATGGCAGTGGTGGGATCCAAAGTAACCTTCCGACAACATCTGGGGACAACAACAAACACAGGCGTGGTGCCCAGGGACCCTTCTGAGTTCACTATCTTCTCAATGTTTCCAGGGACCACTGGTATGTTCCTCTCGGTTCAAGCTCTGCTGTGTTTGAGCTCCCCATGTAACTGGCCCTCCTTTCAGATGGCAGTTCCCAGGATGCAGTAAGATCTCTTGTTACTGCTTATTTTTGATTGGGAAACCCCAGCCCTCAGTTCTGCGCCCAGATTCCATGCTGGAAACTGTTGGCGGCAGCTGCACTCCTCCCTTTCGTTTGGAGTCAGTTCACAGTCCCCAGCCCTTGGGGTTTGCTGGTTCAATTCTCATTCCCCAGTCGAAAGTTCTGTGGGAACTGCTGAGGGTGCACAAAGGGCCCTCTGGCCAGGACCCACTAACACACGTCGGTTACTGCCCACATATTAAGGCGCCAGGCTTGTTTGTCTTGTTTTATGCGGATAAAAGCTAGCTAAAGAAACAGGATTCTTTAAATCCAAAAAACTGAACATGCCACCTTCCAGCACACCTGCTGCTTTTATGATTGAGAACTATAGTCCCGGAAGTTGCAGATATCTAGAAAGATGGCAAGATTTTACTATAAACAACCTAGAGTTACAACGGCTATTGTGGGGAATATTTCAGTTGGATAAAACCGCTTATTCAAGACATGCACTTGAGACCAAGGGATCCAAGCAGAACAGACAGAGTGAGATGTTTACTTTAACTGGCATGCAGAAGATTCCAAAACGGTTTCATTAAAAGATTCATTACAAAAGGCTAATGAAAAATTAAAGAGACAAAAAGTACGTAAAACTAAAGATGATAGGATGGATGTGACTATGGACGTGACTCCTACTGTCCCCTCTGTCCTTTTTCACCTGAGTACTCACGTTTTATAATTCTGTGTCTGAACGGTCTTTCTACTCTGAAGAGACAATTAAACAATTATGAGTAAAAATAAAACGACCTGAGGCTGCAGACGAGCCCCCTCAGGTGTCCTTCACCCCTTGGTCGATGATTGAATTAAGAGCTATAGTCAAACAATTTCCTAAACCCAGGGAGGCCACAGGCCTGACTGAAACCACGACTATAGCCGAGCATTTTGAAAGGACTTTGGAGCAAGATGGCAAACAAAAATCCACCAAGGTGGGGCCGGCCCAATGGCGTAAGTTAAGTTCGCACGTTCCATTTTGGTGGCCCAGGGTTTGCAGGTTGAGATCCTGGACGCAGACCTACACACCACTCATTAAGCCATGCTGTGGTGGCATCCCACATACAAAATACAGGAAGACTGGCAGAGATGTTAGCTCAGGGCCAATCTTCCTCACCAAAAAAAAACAAAAAAACAAAAACCCACCAAGTTAATAGCTATACAGCTACAAAAGCTCCCAGATCAGAGACCCAAGATAACACCAGGGCCTCCTGCATTGCACCCTCCCTAGGGTACCCTCTTGGAAAAAATGCTGGTCCAAAGATTAATGTCTTAATTGTGATCAACTGGGACACTGGAAAAGAGATTGCCCTGAAAGATCCTGTGCAAATCCTTCTTGAATGCCCCATAACTACCTCCAGGGGAGGTCCCCACATGGGTCCCTCTCAAAGTTGAAGGGACTCTGAGGGATACCCTGGTAAACTGCTATGTTATTCCCTTAAACAGCCACGGGGAAACTACAATTAAAATTGATGGAGTTATCTGATCTGACAGAAATATTTACTGTTGGTCCCAGCCGAAAGCACATATTTTTAAAAACTTAACAAATTTATGATCAGAAATTTGGCCAAATTGGAAACTGATATTCAGAGCCTGATAGGAATTTTATTTTTGGCCTTCTCCTCTATGCTGAAATAAAACTATGTACACAGAAGGAAAGAAGAAAACTAGAGGGCCCGTCCTGTGGCCTAATGCTTAAGTTCAGCGTGTTCCGCTTTGGGGGTCCAGGTTCGGTTCCCGGGTGCAGGCCTACACCACTCATCTGTCAGTGGCCATGCTGTGGTGGGAAGATTAAGAAAGAAAGAGGAAGACTGGTAGTGGATGTTAGCTTGGGGTGAATCTTCCTCAGGGGAAAAAAAAAAAGAAGCAGCAAACTAGACATAAGGTAATTGAAAGGGCAGATAAGCCTCTTTATCATTCCGGCTGCAGTCCAGCTCTTTGGGGAGCTGGAAACAACCATCTGTCACGCAAATCTCTGTAGGGCCAAAAGTGCAGCTCTAGAAGTTCAAAGTCTACTCACCCTTTTGCCAATCCCCTAAACCTCACCTATTCCTCTCTAAATGCTTAGAAAGATCAGGACATTGGAAACAGAATTGTCCTGCATTTAATCTGTGCCTTTGTGGTATAAATTTTCTATCCCCATCTTCTCTAGGACCTAAGAGCTATTCTTTGAAATGCAAATGTTTCTCATCAGAAAGGGGGGAGGCATTTGGAAATTGGGCTAATAAAAAAAATCTCAAATGTCCTCTCCACAAATACTAGCAAAAACAAAACTGCTAAGATCTCTGCCTGTATGTGTGTATGTTTTGTCCTATATAAATGTATACACACACACACACGTTGTAAATGTGATATCTTTCTACCTTTGGATGGTACTGCTAAAATTGATTTGTAAAATAGTTCTATTTAGTTGGTTTGAAGGCAAGCATTTGCAAAAATTGGGCATTCTAAAGTTCTCAGGATTATTAAAAAAACGGAACTAACCCAAATGTGTTTTCAAGTTCATGTGATCTAAGATGATCTTTAGTAAATAAAAGTTAGTTTAAGTTTGTTGCTTTAATTAAAACAGGAATGTCTTTAGAGTTATCAGCACTAAATATAATACTTCTATTCTACCGAGGCTTACAAATTTGTCAGCAAGAAAAATAATTTGGAATGGTGAAATTTTCATAAGTAATATAAACCTAATTGTTAAGCACAAATAAATTTAAAAATGTAAGTAGAATAAAAGGTTTTTAGGTGAATTTTCAAAAAAGTTTCTCAAATCTTTTTGACAACTTGAAACTTTGAAGTTTTGCTAAGTTAAATTAAATGATAGAAGCCTACTGAATACCTAATAAGATAAAATATTGAATAATAATTAATGAATATAGGTTTATCTACTTCTCACTTCTTCTTGCAGGGAAACTAAAGATAATATTAGGTCTATTAGTAAATATATCTTGTGTCCCACTGAGAATTTTTCTATGAAAAGGCACACATTTCTAGAAATTATAAAAAGTATCTGTAAGTCTGTCAATCCACAGAATGCTAATATAAAGGACAGTTTATAATTGCTTACATCTTAGTTTTCACCAGAAATTAAAGTCTTCTAAGGGTTAAAAATTCTAACATATGTAATTAAAACTACTAGAAATAATATGGGAAAAAATTTTACGTATGGTCAGTACTGGCCACGATTGGAATCCTTCTGTGTGCTGTGTCTGTATAGTCATGTAAGTGTTCTAGAAATTGTGTGAAATTTCTAAAATCCTAATATGTTCTGGTATAATGTTATCAGTCACAATTCTAGTTATTATCTGAAAATGTATGTCACAGAAATAATCAAATTCCCTCATCAACTGCATTATAATGAACCATATTTTTTTTTAGTCTATTGTCATTCATAGTTACTCTGATGTCTTGGCAAAGATGCTTCACCTTCAAGAATATTCATAGAAAGGAAACTTACAAAACTAAACTGTTTCTTGGCATCAAAATCAAGACTCACACTAAAAGGACTGAAGCTGAGTACCAGGAAAATGCCCTAGCTGACTTTCAGGCAAAGGCAGCAGTAACACAATCTATACAGATTGTAGCACATGTGGATGAAGTCCAGTCTGCTTCTGCAAAAAAATGACCTCTCATTGCGACTTTTGCCATCATAATGTCCTTGTATCACAGCAACAGTCTGCTCACGAGTCAGAAAAATTAGGATGGGTAAACGATGGTGGTAAATTAAATGAACAGTTGGGGCTATGGGAAACCCAAGACAGCCACTTGGTTCTTCCTGGCTCCCTGGGAAACCCCATTTTTCAGGTTTTGCATTCCTTCCCCCACCAGTGTGCATTTACAATGACTCAAATTGGGGCCAGCCCCTTGGCCACGTGGTTAAGTTCGCAAGCTCTACTTCAGTGGCCTAGGGCTACGCTGGTTCAGATCCTGGGCACGGACCTAGCACCACTCATCAAGCCACACTGAGGTGGCGTCCCACATGCCACACAACTAGAAGGACCTACAGCTAAAATATACAACTATGTACTGGGGGGCTTTGGGGAGAAGAAGTAAAAAGAAAATCTTTAAATAAAAAGAAAAAGATGACTCAAATTATGACTCAACATTGGTGAGAAGACTTCTACAAAACTGCAACTCACTGCCTTGACAGCAGAAGAATAAAGGGATCAATGTGCTCTTGCTGTATTCACTGTTCTATTTTCTCTCCACAACAAAACAGAAGCTTCCCATTCATTCATCTCACCTCTATAATCGCCTGAAATGAGAACTTCTAGGAGGCGTGTGATTCTGGGTTTGCCCCTGCAGGGAGAGCTTTCTCTCCACGGATCGGACTAAGCGCCAACGAACAAACAATCAGAAATAGCTCCCTAATGTTAGGAGAGTTGGCCGATTCCCCAGCCAAATCAGTCTCAGCTCACCAATGATCGCTTGACTTGTCAGCTAAAATAGTTTTGGATAATCATATAGCCCTTGATTATCCACTTTCTGAGCAAGGAGGTGTCTGTGCAATAAATACCTCCTGTTGCACATAAATAAACGCCTCTGGAGAAGTAGAAACCCAATTGCATAAAATTAGGGAACAAGCACAGTGGCTACAATAAGTTTCACCTGATAATCTACAGTCTTGATTTGGTCAGCTGGTTACCTTCAGGTCTGGGCTCCTCGTTTAGAACCATCTTACAACCTGGATTTGTTCTATACCTACGGCTTGTTGAACCTTTGTAAAAATGACATGCCTAATAAGGTGATGCTAATTCAGTGCTTCGAGAGGATTTCCAATGCTTACGACCTCGACTGAATATAGACTTTGAATAAGAAACACCTGAGAGTTCTTCCTATTACTCTTTCTTGTTACTCAAATATGGCCTCGAGCACTTTCCAGTCAGTGCACTTTCCCTCTAACATGGGACACAACACCCAGAAAAGGTCCTTCCTGGCACCAAGAGATAAAGGCTACTGAATTTGGAAAACCTGACCCTTGATCAGCAATGCTTTTGAAGAACAGATCTTGATCAAAAAGGGGTACCTGTTAAAATTAATAAAGGAAACCTCAACTAAATTTGGAGTTGGGAAGGCCTGTAGAGGGTGCTCTCATGCCCTGCCACTCCTAGTCAATTGCCCCAAACAGGAAGATGTCAATTACAGACCCCAATAGGAAGACATCAGTTACTGACCCCAACAGGAAGAAGCATGATTTACTGACCCCAACAGGAAGAGACATACCTTGCGCTCCAAAACAGGAAGTGCAACTACTTTACTACTCTAGCAGGAGGAAGGAAAACTTCCTTCTTGCCCAGCAATCAGCCCAGCCAATGGAAGATGCCACAGCTCAGCCAATGAGAAGTTGTCATCATCTGAACTTTTACTTTCCTCCAATGAACTTGCTAATGACTTCCTTTCCTTGTCCCGCTCTCCTGAATATAAAAGCCTCCTGTGTCATGTAACCCCCAGAGTATCTCTCTGCTTGCCAGATGAGATGCAGCCATGAATCATTTAATAAAGCCAATCAGATCTTCTAATTTACTCAGTTGAATTTTGTTTTTTAACAGGTGAAATCAGCACCAGTAGGGTTTAAAAGTTTCCATAAGTGACTCCAATGTGCAGCCAGGCTTGAGAACCACTGCTTCCTGGTTCACAGGCCCATCTGTAGGATTTCCAAGTTATACTATCAACTATGCTCTTCGACTATATCAGATAACGCGAAAACTTTTTCAAGAGGGTTTGTCAATTTATAGTCTTATCAACAGTGTTTGAGAGTTCAGGTTGCTCTAGAGACTTAGCAATACCTGGACATGTTAAATTTTTATTTGTCAATATGATAGTATAAAATGGTATCATAATGGTTTAATTTGCATGTTCTTCATTACTAATCTTTTCTAATTTTATTGCCCATACATATTTCCTCTTCTATTAGGTTCTTATTCATGTCTTTCGCCCATTTTCTTATTGGGTTATTTTTTCTTATTGATTTATGGGAACTCTTTAAATATCCTGGATAATGATCCTTTGTCTTGGGCCTGAACCCAGACTCCATCAAATAACTGGCTCTGTGACCTTACATAAGTTACTTAACCTCCATGAGTCTGCTTCCTTTTCATAAAGTGATGTCACAACACCAGTTGTGAGGTTTACAGACAAGGTACATGAAGCACTTAGCCTGGTGAATAGCACAGGGCAGACGTCCAATACATTGTGGCTATTATGAGGACAGATTTAAACATTAACAAGGATACTGAAGATGAAATATTATTCCAGGCATTTAGAATTCATATAAAACAGATAAACTGTTTAGAAGAGAGGTCATGTGCTGTAGAAGCTAAGATAGCTGGCTCTGAAGAAAGAGAAAATACTATGTGACCTTAGGCAAAATATCCTCACTGTCCCTCAGTGTTCTCATCTGTGATACAGGATAACAATAGAACTGACCTCCGGATTGTTGTAACAACTAAGTGGGTAAATACATATAAAAGCTCTCAGGATACTAAAATCACTAAGATGATTGCAAATATAATTTTCCCAAATATCCACCAGAAAAGACATGCTTCTACAGTACACTGAGGAAACTGGTTGCTTTCAACGATCTGTTTTTTGGGTGAGAAATTTCGCACCAAGGACACATGGAAACACACAGCAAATACTCAGCACCGACTCCTTGGTGACGGGTGTGAGCAACACGATTAAGGACATAACATACTAACCTGAGTGCATTGCTGAAATAGATTCCACTCCCGAGATTTCCAATGTCTGTTCTTTTCACGCCACGGGCTTCAACGACTTTGGGTAAGAGCAACCCACTAAAAAGAAAGGGCATTATAATGATTTACTAGAAAAAAGGAATCTTTTATTATAGCCTCATAATTCTAGCAGAGACAGGTACTAATTAAGGACATTATGCTAAGTGAAATAAGCCAGACACAGAGAGACAAATACTGCATGACCTCACTTATATGTGGAATCTAAAAATGTCAAACTCAGAGAACCAGAGAGTAGAATTGTGGTTTCCAGGGTCTGGGGATTAGGGGAATCGGGGAGCTGCTGGGCAAAGGGTACAAACTTTCAGTTATAAGACGAACAAGTTCTGGAGATCCAATGTACAGCATGGTGATTATAGCTAATAATATTGTATTGCATACTTGAAATTTGCTAAGAGAGTAGATCTTGCATTCTCACCTCAAGAAAAAAAAGGTAACTATGTGAGGTGATCGATGTGTTAATTAACTTGCTTGTGTTAATTTACAATGTATGTGTATATTAAATCATCACACTGCACACCTTAAAAAAATCACACTGTATAACCTAAAATATACAATTTTTATTTGTCAATTATACCTCAATAAAGCTGGAAAAAATAAATGCACCAATTAAAAGACAATAAATAAATAGTACGAAATGAAAAGAAAAATGCATTTCAAAGTAATCCCACAAAAGGAGTTCCAGGTGCCACTAAAACGTACCAAGCTATGGCCAGTTTCTCATCATCATCTTGGCCAGCTCTGGGCTGCTGGCCATTTTTCCCGTCTCTGGGCTCGGCCTCCTTCAGGCGAAGACACCCTAGTGCTCAGTGGAAGAATGTTTAAGCCCAATGCTGCCTGCATTTCTTCCTTGTTCAAGAATTTATGCAGGTTCCTATGGGGCTTCTAGCATTCAAACTCTCTGCAATCAAAGCAAAACCACGGTTCCCCGTGGGAAGGCAGGTAAAGGGACACTTCTGCCTCTTACTATAGAAACATCTGCTGTTTGAATTTTGTATTACGAGATGGGACTATTTCTATAAAATGGCTTTTAGTCGTACTTAGAAAGGCAATTCCCACTCAAAGATTATTTTAAAAAAATTCTCCCATTTTTCATTTAGTACTGTTACAGTTTATTTTTAATTTTTAAATCTTTCCTCCACGTAGAGCTAATATAAGTGTGAGGAACTTTATATTTTTTCTAGGTAGTTATCTATTTATCCCAATATTTAGTATTGAGAAATTATCTTTCTTCTACAGAGATAAAAGCTACTTTTATCATATACTAAATTGCCTGTTTCTGTGCTTCTTTGTGGCCTATTTATTCTGTTCATTCATCTATTTATGCACTACTTACTATACGAATTACTACAGCTTTATACTATGTTTTCAACGTCTGACTGGTTAATTTTCCCTCTTTACTCTTTCTTTTTCAGAATTACCCTGGTAATGTCAAATCTTTAAAAAATATCTGCTGGGCTGGCCTGGTGGCATAGTGGTTAAGTTCGAGTGATCTGCTTTGGTGGCGCGGGGTTCACAGCTTTGGATCCTGGATGGGGACCTAGCATCACTCGTCAAGCCATGCTGCGGTGGCATCCCATGTACAAAATAGAGGAAGATGGGCACAGATGTTAGCTGAAGGCCAATCTTTCTCGGCAGGGAAAAAAAAAAGTGCTGTAGAATCAGCTTATTTCTTTAAAAAAATCTTTTTAGTACTGTTATTGTGATAGCACTAAATTTATAGGTTAATACAAGGAAAACTGGCATCCTTCTGGTTAGTGCAAGCGTCTTTTGAGTCCTTCAAAAGCAGTTCACAGTTTTTTCCAGATGGATCTTGTATGTTTCTTTTTAAGTCTCTTCTTCGGTATTTAATTAAGGATCCAGGTTTCATCATATTTTCCTGCTCTGTGCAACTTCAGTTTCAGCCCTAACATTCAGTGGTTATTCAAAGCAAACAGAAAGTTATAGTTACGTTTTGAATAGAGAGGCAATCTAATTTCTAGACCTTTCTCTTTAAGTGTTAGACTATCTCTAGATTAGATACACATGGAAGAGTCAAGAAATAGAGTCACCTTTTCTCAGGAAGCAATTCATATCCATGTACTACACTTTAAAGTATATATAATAATAAATACATAATTTAAATTATATATTTAATTATAATTTAAAGAGTTCAATTTTCTCTGGAATGCAATAAGCTGGCTGATTTTCACTGAAGAGACCCATGCAGTGTAGCAAAAAATAAGGTGAAACAGTTCACATGTATGAGGCTGAAAAATCTGGAAGACAAAGATGGTGCACTCTCACCGGGACAGGATTCCTACAAAGCTTCGCACAGGCGACCCATGCAGCAAGCGCTTCACAGTGCCAAGCCGACTCAAAAACTCCGTGGTTTCATTCACTTTGCCAACTCGAAATATCTGCAAGATGTTCACTGGACTTCTACTGTAAGAATTAGAAGAAAAACCTTGAGATTACATGATTGAAAGCAAAACCAAAAATCATTATTAGCAGCAGAAAACACAAAACAGCCCAAATGTCCATTATTAGGTAAATGATTCAATGAATCACCACAAAAGGTATCTTGAAAATGCTATACAGCCACTAAAAAATCACACTCTTAAAAAATAAATAAGGATATGAAGTAAAACTTCATAGTGAAATATAAATTTTAACAGTAGGTTACAGAACTTTATGTATGGTATGATCCCAAATTTTGTGAAATATATAATATTTGGAAAATACAGATTGCATGAGTTCATTCACTGATTCACGCATTCATTCAGCAAATATGCTCGTGGCAAGTATTGTGCCAGAACAACACGGTCTTGGCTTCATGGAGCTTACTTACAATCTAAGCAGAGAGAAAAAATTCTAGAAGTTAACAAATACCTGATTTTAAGCATTATTAAGGAAATCAACCAGGTTCAGAGAGATGGTGGTCAAAAAAGGCAGCTTGGAGGTGACACTTATTGGCATACAGCATGATACAGTATATATTTTAAGATCTAACTAGTTGTTATGGGAAAACAAATCCAATGAGGTAGGAGGGGAAAGAATGTCAAGAAGGACATTCCTGCACCAGCGTAGAAGTGGTCTGGCCTATGGAGGGCAGCAGTGTAAGAAAGAAGTCAGGAGATTAAAGGTATTTTGGAGGCAGAACTGACAGAACACGGTGACGTGGGGTGAGGGGGAGAGCATCAGCAGCGGCGCTGGGTGGGGAGCTGAGACGGGAAGCACGGGGAAAGACTGGGGTCCGGCTGAGGGAGCGGCGCAGGCGCAGAGGGGTTCGAGAGCCTGCTCAGCGCGCCTCCCCCGCTCGCGTGTGGTGGGGTCCCGTTGGTAGCCTGGAAGTAGCTACCACAGGGGGCAGTATTTACACCACAGCCACCAGCAAACACGACAGATCAGGACTTTTATTTCAGAGAGCTGGTTTACCAGCATACCGCCGGGTACAGAGAAGAATCAACAATTCAATTTGGGATATGTTCTACACCAAAATGTTAACCGTGGTTACATTTTCTCTGACTTTTCTCTGGGTGGTGAGATTCTGGGTGGTCTTTACTTTTCTTTACATTTTCCTATATTTTTATTTTCTAAACTTTTAGCAAAGAATATGAATTTTATAACTAGAAAAACATTAATATGAAAAAATCATTATATTAGTGAAATGAAATGGAGAAAATCTGATTTTTCACAGCAGCTGACTCTCTCTAGGGCGAGCCTGCTTTTGCTGTATGAGTACTTTAATACTCAGGTGAGGGTGGGATCTCTAAGGGCTTGCTGAGTTACATTAGATGACTGAGCAGCACCCCGCTCCCCAGGGCTGGAGGACATACCTTTCCTTCCCTTTGACTCTCTGGAGAAAGCCAGCTACTGCCCTCCTTATTCTACCTTCATTGTTACTAGCCTCTTAATTAATATTAGATTCTAGCAAATACCTAGGGGAGGGTCAAAAGTCAAATCAAAAGAATTTGATTATACATAAAAGCAAAATCTGGAAAAGATATACAGAAATGGATTTTTTTAATTGAGGTAAAGTTCACATATCATAACATGAACTATTTTGAAGTCTACAGCTTAGTGGTATTCACCACGTTCAAAATGTTGTACAACCACCATCTTTATCTAGTTCCAAAACGTTTCACCACTCCAAAAGAACACGCCATACCCATTAGCAGTTAGTCTCCATTCTTCCCTCTCCCTGCACTAGGCAATCTGCTTTCTGTCTCCATGGATTTAATTTACCTATTCTAGATATTTCACATAAATGGAATCATACAATATGTGGTCTTTTGTGTCTGGCTTTTTTCACTTAGCATAATGTTTTTGAGGTTCCCCCAATATATTTTTATCACATTTTATAAATAAATATATATTTTTGTTCAATTATATGTATACACCATATTTTGTTAATCCATTCATCCACTGATGGACATGCGGGTTGTTTCCACCTTTTGGCTATTGTGAATAGTGCTGCTATGAACACTCATGTACAAGTATCTGTTTGTGTACTTGTTTTCAGTTCTTTTTTGGGTATATAACTAGGAGTGGAATTGCTGGGGCATATGATAATTCTGTGTTTAATTTGTTGAGGAATCCCCAAACAGTAGCAGCACTATTTTACATTTCCACAAGCAATGTCTGAGGGTTCCAATTTCTCCAAATCATCATCAACACATATAATTTCCTTTTTTTTTTTAATATAACCTTCTTAGTGGGTGTGAAGTGGTACTGGGAATGGAATTTGATGATCACTGACCAAGGCAGGCAGAAACTAATTTTAGACAGGTCTGAATTAGTCTAGAAGAGAGACGTGGCTGGGTCTGGTTCTAGTAGGGTGCTAAAAACTAACTCTCAAGACAACAAAACCCACACACAGACCTGATTTGTAGCATTTGCTGATATCCACCGTGTAAATCCTCCCACCATAGCGGATTTCAAGTTACTAATGGTTTAACAATCAATTAACAAAATCCCTAAAAATTTAACAATTGGCCCCCGCAAGCTGGTACAAGTAGCTGCAATTCACTACCATTGGCTTTAAGGAGTGTGCAAGGCTGAAGAAAGGTAACCTGGTCTGTTATAATGAGATCCGAGAAAGACTTCAGGCAGAGAAGTGCTGCGGTGTAATGAATGACCAAACCAATGAAAGTCAGCCCCACCCTTGAGAACAATCAATAAACCTAGTTTCTGAACCTTGAAACTGGGTCTGGACTCTTAGCCGAGGTGATTCTACAAAGTTATTACCATCCAATAAAGGCTTATTTGAGCAGCTGATCCATCCGTTTGTTAGCTGCTACCTCAGAAACAGGAACATGCACAGTCAACAAGGAAACATGTAATTGACATTTCGGGCTGCTATAGCTGTTCACGTGTTTGCCACGTTTTCATCTGAGTGCTTCACGCCATGGAGTGGCCATTTTAGAAGCTGCCACGCCACATTCCTGCATTTTAAAATCTTAATTTAAGTGGATTTTCCTATGTAATACTCTTCAACACATAAACTCAGGGTCTGATCCCATGGCCGAGTGGTCAAGTTCCTGCACTCACTTCAGTGGCCCAGGTTTTCACCTGTTCGCATCCTGGGCACGGACACAGCACGGCTCAACAAGCCACGCTGAGGCAGCATAGCACATAGCACAACCAGAAGGACCTACAACTAGAATATACAGCTATGTTCTGGGGGGACTTTGGGGAGAAGAAGGAAAAAAAAAAGGTTGGCAACAGATGTTAGCTCAGGGCTAAAAAACCCCCCCAAAAACCCATAAACTCAAATACCCTTTGATTTGAAATTTTAAAATTTAATTCTCAGCAAGATTAGGTAACCTTGAAATTAGAGTGGAATAGTAGGGAGTGTTTTCAAGCGTAGAACACTGCCCCATGCCCTATTATAAACAGAGAAGAAAGTAACTGGTCATCACAACATAGTTATCTTGTTACTGAGGATTAACTTATCCAAGTAATTCACATCAGAATGTGAAATAGTATTACAGAATAACAGATCCTAACATACTTCCTTTATACTTACCCGCAATTATCCTGCAATAACTCTTTTCTAACTCTGAAAAATTCTTCAGTGTTCTCTTCAACATGCTCAATTTTGCATCTCAAAGCTCGATATTTGGCAAGAGATGGTGGGTTGGGTTTGGCCAGATTCGTTTCACAGACATTAACCATGTCTCTTATTAGCTGTAGACGGAAAGGATACACAGACATTAGAATCACCACATATCAAAATATTTTTATCACTTTACACTTTCTCAAAAAAGATTGGAAAAATAAGCTTATCTCTCCAAAGCTTTTGATCAACAACTGCCTGTGCTGTAAGTAGCATGTTAAAGTGAGGGCAGCTGCCTCGGGGATAGCACAATACACGATAATAATACAGTTGCATTAGGATAGCGCATCTTGTTAATGCAGTGTTTTCAGGTACATTATTCCTCTAATCTGCAGAAGTATTGAGGTGGGCACCATACACACCCTCTCAGAAGCAAGACTGACTGAGGTTCGTTACCCTGAGTGTTAGGCAAATCATTTTAAATGATTAGGAGTTTTAACTGTGGAAGGGTCCTTTATTATCTCATGTACTGGTTCATCGCACCTACTGATTTTTCACTTATCTTGGATTACAGATTCCTCTGGAAATCTGCTGAAAGCTATAATTTCCCCCAAACATGCAAAATTTCACATCTATAAACTCCTCTGAAGTCTAGGTCACGGATCTCTGATCTTGTCTTAATCCCTTTATGCACAGATGAGGCAACTCAGAGCCAGAGAGTGACAGTGGTCTCATCCAAGACACGCTGGCCGTCGCTCTGACCTCCTCTTTGCTGAGCCCTACTCCTTCCCCCCTAGCTCGGGGGAGACGGTCTGTTTCTGAGTAGTCACGGTAATTCCATTCTCCTCGCCAGCAGCTGGCTTAGGAATGCACACATGACTCAGTTCTGACCAAAGAAAGAAGAGTTTGCCAGGGGCTTCCTCTAAGAGACACAAAAAGAAATATTCTGGAGGAGATGCTATGAATTATTGCAGCTGTAAGATGGTTGTAAGGGAGCCGAGAGGGAAGAGGTCCCTTTACAGGAAGCACAGAGATGGGAAGCAGCTGCCTTGATGATAATGCTGCCTCTCAGTGCACTAGGCCAGCAGCCACCGTGCATCCGGACTTGCTGCTTTCCAGGGTGATCAGCAGCCTCACTGTTCAAGTCAGTTGCAGCTGTCTGTTTCTTCTGCAGAAAGAATCCTAACTCATCTCCTGATCTGGAAAATTATCCTAGAGTGTAGCAATTTGTGATTCAGTGTCCCCTTATTCACCAGATTTGAAGAGAGCCCTCCCCCAACATATTTTAAATTGAATTCTATATTTCAGAGATTTACCTGGCAGAGGTCCTCTTTCTTCGCTAACAGTCTCAGGGTAATTTGTTCAGCTGTTGCACCTTTGTGAGGTACTAATCTGTAGAATTCCGTCATCATCTTTTGCAATTGTTCTTCTGTTTCTCCATTTTCCAGTGCCGTCTTTACGAGAAGGAGAATTCCCTCTGCCTTGCTCACCTGTAAATAAAAGATGATATACGCTTATTAAAATGAAATCTCGCTAATTATAGAAAAAGTGAAGGAACACATAAAAATATCTAAAATAGTTGTTAGATAGGCCACAACTACTAGTTTTCTACTTGACACCTGCCATAAAACAAATGCAATGTTCACTGAAGCTGTGTCTCAGTGACTGGGATGCCATGAGGAGCTTCCCCAAAGTGCTTGGCTTAACTAGAGGAAAGAACCAGAGCCTTGAATGTCTATATCTATGTATCTGCATCTACATCCACAGAGAGAGAAATGCTAATGCAACTGTGGGAGACTTGCCTTTCACACAACAAATTTAGACAGATGTCAGAATCGAACTAGGAACAAAACCCTCCAGAACCTGTTTCTAATTATGCAAGTACTTCTTAGATTTTACCTCAAGAAACCTTTTTCTCCCTGATAGAAATTAGTTTGACTCCATAGAGGAAAACTGCCTATATTATATTAGGATGACAATGCAGTTGCACAAGTTGTCCCATTGGGAATATTTTGACTTGTTCTTTCACTCATATGTAATTAAAAGGAGCATTTTCTGGAGGGCCGGAAGCATGCCTGCCTATCCCTCAGACAGTCAGAAGGTACAAGACTCTGAAGCCATCACTATGAAGTGGATTAGGGTCTGAGCATCTAACTGAGGACCAAGAGCACTTATGTCCCCCAGGCCTGCTACAAATCTCCTGACCTAGAGAAGCAGGCCTCCCAATGAGCCGGCACCAAGCAGCCGAGCTTTGATCAGCAGCTGTGCCTGACATCTTACAGAGAGGAGGGTCTCGTTTCCTTGGAAGCTTATGATCCCCTCCGTGCTCTTGGTATTCCCCTTCTCCAGGGTAAGAAGAACGGACAGTCAGGAACGCATCCAAGAACAACCGGACTCACACTCAAACATAAGTGGTATTATTTAAGCTAATAAGCCAGAAAGCAGGTTTGCCATGTCAGACGTTGTATTTCAAGGACACACTTGACTTACATCATTAAGACTAATCCTGTTCACAGGCTGGAGGAGTGTGTGCTCCAGGTGGCCGAGAGCTTCTGCCCAAATCATCTCCACCAGATGGCTCACCTCTTGGCTCAGAGTGCTGGAATTTATTACCTCCTCCAACAGCAACTGCGACAACAAAACACAAAAAAAACACCAACAGAAAGTTTTCATGACTGGGTTTATTTAAAACCGAGATGAACAGAGGCATGAGAAGACACAACGAATCATAGCCTAGGAGGGTCGCCCGCAGCCAAGCAGCTATTAACACCGTGGGCCTCCTCTTCCTGCTCGTCTCTCCCTCCATCTCCTCCCTAGCCTCTTCTCTCATTCCTCCTTCTCTCGTTTATTCCCATTTTATTTTTCCTTTTGCCTTTTTCTTCACCCTGTAACTTTAAGGCCTGCCAGTGGCAGTAAAGGTTAAGTGGCATTAAGGGAAAAGGATTCCTGACTCCTGGCCTAGGTTATAATGAAATCCTTTGAAAGCTGTGAGGGCTGGTGCTGAAATAACCAGTAAGTTTTATGGCTCCTCCTGGGACTTACTTCCCACTCAGTTTCCACGCCTTTCTGTGGGTCTGCCTTTCCTTTTCTTAACTCCTAGTCTTCTCTCCTGCCATTTTTCTATTTGTCATAAAGAAAACATTTCTATTAAAAGTATTCAATCAACAACACAAAATAACACGTATAAACACTCTTACTGCTTGCAATTTTTCAGATGCTAATTGGGTTGCTTCGGGTGTAAAATGTTCTCTTAGTAGAAATCCTTGTTTCTTCAGCTCTTCAATGAAATTTTCATAGTATTCACTTGCCTCTGCAGAGGTTTTCTTTACAGATAACTGTCTTCTGGTCTGTGAATTACATATGCAGCCAAGTGTCAGGATATGAGGACACAGTAGCTTACTAATATATCAATCTTTACTGAACACCTACTGTGGCTCATGAGGACAGGAACACAAACAAGTCATCCGATCCCTGCTGTGAAGGAGTTTGGAAACTAGTTTTTTAAAAGAATTACTTAAATCTTCAGTTCTTCACAAAACAGCCTAAAACGTGAAAGTAAGGGGGAAAAACCTGAGCAGGCACAACAGGCAGAAAAGACACATCTGATTCACTGGAGAGCCACTCAAACGTTCATTCAGAGACACCCCACTCTTCCTTTCCATACTATTCTAATTAGCTTTGAAGTCTGGCTTTCTAGCTTTTTAGAAATGAAAAAAATAAACTGGGGGAGGGGCAGAAATGATTACTGTTAGAGGCAGGTACACAGTCAAAACAAAATGATAGCTACAAGCAAGGAGAAAGGCAGGAAAGCTCTTAGGTCATACAAATAATGCTAAAGGCAGGCAGCGAGGAGCCCTGTGGATAGGCACAAACAGCCTGCCTCATTCCAACCTGCCTATGGATGAGGCATTTTCTGCTCTGCCTGGAAATGCCTGCCCCTGTAGTGCGCAGGTATCCCACCATTAACCTCAGAGCCTGAAGGAGGATTCGCCCCAGCCGGGGTCCGTGATGTCCTTGTGGGGGTCGGCCAAGGCCCTGGCTCTGGGGTGTTCAGCCCCGGGGGAAGCCGGACTACTCACGACCCTGAGACACCGCCCCCCAACACTGGTGGCCCAGGATGCCTGTGAAACTTGGAAAAAAGAAGTATATCATGTTCAAGTTACTCCACTTAAGAATGCAGAGTTTACCATAATTTTGAAAGATTTCCATCAAAATGGTTTCATAAAGGAGAAGGGCAAGCTAGAAAAGCCTCCTCTGCAGAGCGGCTCCTACACTGCTGGTCAGGGAAGATGACTTCGCCCACGGCGGGCAGACTCACCCCAGGGGCCCCACCCGCGTTCTCAGACTCCGGCTGGCTGAGAGGGGAGGCTCCCTGGACCGGCTCTCACTACAGCAGGCAGGAAGGCACAGGATGGTCTTGCAGTGTTATAGTTTTCTTTTTCAACGAAGAAAAACAATCATGACACTTTCTATCATAGTTTTCAACTTGATTTTTACTTACTTTTTACCCCCACGACTAAATTTTCCACAAAATATAGTATATATTTTTTGGTAAAAGGTAATAGAACCCTTTCTCCTTCTTGGACACATCTGACCTTGGATTAACTCTTTATATCTGTTCGCATAGAAACCTGGTAAGGGTGGAACGTCAGCTATAATATTAGGCAAGTTTGCTTGGGTAATGGTGACCTCTTATTACTAAATTGCATCAGGACTGGGGGTTCAATGAATGACCCACAAATAGCAGGTAGGAAACCTGAGGCTGGGGGGTCCCTGTGAGTGGTGAATCGAATAACAGGCACTTTCTCTAAGGCATCTCGAACCTAGGCCCATGTTACAAGACGTATGGGCTCCTGTGGGGTGGGGCTTCTAATTCAGGTGGATCCTGCACCCATCTGATGTGAGTTTCCTTCTTTACCCCAGAGCTGACACGTGGAGTGGGGGCAAACGAGAAGTGTCCAGAGCCAGAGCGAACCGCTGTGAGGACCACTCCCACTGAGGAGCACCTGTGCACCCTGCAGGCTGCTGTGTTTCCTGCCTGTAGGTCTGAAGGTCCAGACAGAAGACACCCTGATGGGTGTTGCAGCATTTTATTTGAACTTTAGGCATTAGCCTTGGATTAATTTTTGTTTCATAGTTGTTTCAGGTTGGAACCACGCCCTTGACTTAACACTGACTCATGGCCTCTGCCAAGCCTTTCCTGCCGTAACCAAGTGCAGAACACTTCACATACACTTCAGTACCAGCTCTGCTACAGTGGATTAAAATCACGAATGCCTTGCTTCCTCCCAGGTGGTGACTTCCGAGGGGAGGGTGTGAAGAATTTTTTATCTTTGGGTCCCAGCGTCTAGTAGACTGCTTGATATACTTAATGAAGTGTGTGAATGGATTAAGTAGGTACTTGATAAAGTGTGTGAATGGACTGCTTTTAGAGGTGTATACATTGGGAGAATATTCCATAAGTGATTCAGAACAGGGGCAGGAACCCTGGCTGCCCTGCGCCTCAGTGAGTACTCTCCTCTGAGGAGAGCCCTGTGCTGCTGTGGTCAGGGGGCACTGTTCCCACCATGCTCTCCTCTCCTGCCGCATCCCAAGAGAGAACACATTTCCACTTTTCAAAACTATTTACCAGGTAAAAAGGAAAAGGTTAACAGATTGGCTGGTTCATCTACCAATTTTAAGGAAACTGGTTATGAACAAGGGTAAAACACAGGAATCAATATAAAGATCATTACCTCCGTGCCATCAGCCATGAGGAAGTGTGCAGATATGAGAAAAGCACGGTCCCCGGGGTCCTGGGAGCACTGCAGCTCCACCACGGCCAATTCCTGAGCTCCCTCCGTCCCAGGCTGGAAAAAAGGTTACTCTTTCATAAGCTGCATTTATTAAATAACAAACCACACATGCCATTTAAAAATGTTGATTATACAACTTACAAAAATCAGTTGCATTTCTACACACTAATAACGAACCAACAGAAAGAGAACTCAAGAATACAATCCCATTTACAATCACAACAAAAAGGATAAAATATCTAGGAATAAATTTAACCAAGGAGGTGAAAGACCTATACACTGAAAACTATAAGGTATTACTGAAAGAAATCAATGATGGCATAAAGAATTGGAAAGATATTCCATGCTCATGGGTTGGAAGAATTAACATAGTTAAAATGTGCATATTACCTAAAGCAATCTACAGATTCAGTACAATCCCAACCAGAACCCCAATGACATTCTTCACAGAAACAGAACAAAGAATCCTAAAATTTATATGGAACAACAAAAGAGCCCAAATGGCCAAAGCAATTCAGGGAAAAAAGAATAAAGCTGGAGGCATCACAATCCTTGACTTCAAAATATACTACAAGGTTATAGCAATCAAATCAGCATGGTACTGTCACAGACACAGACACACAGATCAAAGGAACAGAACTGAAAGCCTAGAAACAAACTCACACATCTACGGACACCTAATCTTCAACAAAGGAGCCAAGAACATACAATGGAGAAAGGAAAGTCTCTTCATAACTGGTGTTGGGAAAACTGGACAGCCACATGCAAAAGAACGAAAATAGACCATTATCTCACACCATACGTAAAAATTAACTCAAAATGGATTAAAGACTTGAAGGTAAGGCATGAAACAATAAAACTCCCAGAAGAAAATACAGGCAGTACACTCTTAGACATCGGTCTTAGAAGGATCTTTTTGAATACCATGTCTACCCAGGCAAGGGAAACAAAAGAAAAAATAAACAGATGGGACTTCATCAGACTGAAGAGCTTCTGCAAGGCAAAGGAAACCAGGAACAAAACGAAAAGACAACCCACCAACAGGGAGAAAATATTTGCAAATCATATATCCGACAAGGAGTTAATCTCTAAAATAAATAAATAACTCACACAACTCAACAACAAAACAAAATCTGATCAAAAAATGGGCAGAGGATATGAACAGATATTCTTCCAAAGAAGTTATACAGATGGCCAACAGGCACATGAAAAGATGTTTGACATCACTAATCATCAGGGAAATGCAAATCAAAACCACAATGAGATACCACCTTATGCCTGTTAAAATGGCTATAATCATTAAGATAAAAAACAACAAATGTTGGAGAGAATGTGGAGAAAAGGGAACCCTCATCCACTGCTGGTGGGAATGCAAACGGGTGCAGCCACTATAGAAAACAGTATGGGGACCTCTCAAAAAATTAAAAATAGAAATACCATATGACCCAGCCATCCCACTACTGGGTATCTACCCAAAGAACTTGAAATCAGCAATTCAAAGAGACTTATGCATCCCTGTGTTCACAGCAGCATTATTCACAATAGCCAAGATGTGGAAGCAACCCAAGCGCCCATCAACAGATGACTGGATAAAGAAGATGTGGTATATAGGTAATGGAATACCACTCAGCCATAAAAAAAAAGCAACAACACAAAATCGTCCCATTTGCAACAACATGGATGGACTTTGAGGGAGAAAGATAAACACTAGATGATTTCATCCATATGTGGAAGACAAACAAACACACAGACAAAGAGAACAGATCAGTGGTTACCAGAGGGGAAAAGGGTTGGGGGGTGGGCTTAAGAGGTGAAGGGGCACATTTATATGGTGACCGACAAATAATAATGTACAACCGAAATTTCACAATGCTGTAAACTATTGTGACCTTAATAAAATTTAAAAAATTGTTGATTATAAAACTAATACATGTTCATTTAAAGATATAATTTAGAAAATACCGAAAGTATAAAGAAAAAATAAAAATCAACTGAAATCATACTACAGATATATAATCTCTATTACTATTTCGGTATATTTCTCTCCTGTATTTTTACTATAGATATATCTGTATACAGTTAAACTGTTACCACTTTTCATATTTTCTTTATCACAGAGGGAATGTTAGTTTCAAGTTATATTTTATTAAAATATCTAAAAAATACAAATACAGCATCATTTCGAATGCTAGTGTTAATTTACATTTGTGTGATGGAGAAAAAATTTTTTGTTTTTCTTTTTAAAGAAAAGTAATGGAAGTTCAACATGGTATAAACACTTTGTGTCAAATCTACTCTTAAAATACAAGAAACTGTTAATAACAGGGAGCAGGACCTTTATTTTTAATGTCATATTAATATTTTGCATTGTTTACATTTTTATTATGAACATGCATTACTTTTATAATAAAAACACAAAAATTAAACATTAAATTTCAAATGTAAAAATTTTCTTGACCTTTAAAAGTCACCTCATATATTAAAGAATATTTATTCAGGATATGCACAACTTTCAAAACAACGAGAAAATTATCCAACAGGAAAAATAATCAGAAGATATTCAAACAGGTTTTTTCCCAAATAGCAATGACTCTTACTTTTTCCAAGGAGTTATATTTTGCAACTTCAAAATCTTGAGGAAAATCAAGAATTTCAACATTGTCTGTATAAAACCTGAAATTCACATAATTAAAAATTTACTAAAGAGTAAAAATGGACTAAACAGAATTTCAATAAAATTTTTCTTGTATCTCTCCTAACTCCACACACAATCTATTTCAGGGCCCTCCCGCCTCGTCGGATAGTCTGACAGTCGTTGAGAGGCCTGGCGCAGCGACCGGGCTCCTCTTCCTATCACTGTGCCCCCTAGACACTCAGCGCCCCCTAGACACTCAGCGCCCGCTAGAGCCAGGCGGCCTGTCTGCCCCCTTGATTCCAACCCCTGCAGGCGGGGTCACTCCAGACAGGCCCACACCTCAGCTACCCTTTAAAATAAAGGTGTCAGACTTAGAATAAGCTGTACTTTTAATTTGGATATTTGTCCTCTCTTTTAACACTACTATTAGCAAATAAAATAAGACCAAATGTGAGGCCTAATTGATACTGCAGTTTTGGGTACACTTTCAAAAGCTATACAGAACTTTAGACTCATGCTCCATTTGCGGAAAGCTGTTATTATTTCTACTTTTTAAAATATTAAGTAGAGAGTAATGAACTGTCTTTACTCTAAAGGCTGTTCAGTAAGGAAACAGAGTGAGCAGACTGCCCAAATCTCATCTCCAGTGGTTTTTCTTTTTTAAAATCAATCTAACAATATGTCCAATCTCAAATAATAATGAGAAGATAAAAATAATTATCACTGTACTAGTTGAAGTAAAAAGTCTTAAATAAATAAAAACAATAAAGAATTAGATAAGCAAGATAAATGAAAATACTACAAAAAAATACTGATATACTAATAACGTTATAATACTGTGCTTGAGGTTTAGAAAACATTTTGCAAACTGCCGAGTCCTAATGATCCGAAGTATATTACTTAGTGACTTCCACAACGTTCTCCTTCTCTGTGGAATTGTCCAGGGATAGATCATCTGCTTTCACTCCTAAAATTAAAACAAACAAGACATTGGTTTACTACTCTCAGATTTACTGTTAAGATTCTTGAATATGGGTCATATTTACCATACTATTCTACTTTTTTAGGTGTCCTTAAATTAGCTATAGTTATTGGTAATCTAAAGACAACAAAGTGGGAGAAGAGGAAGGGAGATCAGAAGATACTTAGAAAATATCATTATAATTCTACTTTAATAGACACGTGAGGAGAATTCTAATGTAATCCTACGGCAAGCATAGTTATGCAATGCATTTCTAATATACTACAAGGTCAGGATGAGTTCCTGAGAGCCACAATGTCACAAACAAAGGAACTGGGGATGTTCTAGTTTAGAGGAGGGAAATTCAAGGGTTCCCACATAATTTTTGCTTCATATTTTTCCTATAGAGGAATTGTAACACTAGCATGATGATATATAGGAATAATTCCTTTAATGCAAAGATTTTTTTTCCAATTTTAATTATGCTATCGAGATCTCAATGATCATCAGTGTATTTGTAGCAATTCTGGATCTGACTGTATTACTCTGGATGTTGAAAAATGTTTTCAACGGACAAGGAGTTTACTCTCCTGCCTATTTTGTTTCAGCTACCACTTTCCGAGACAGTAAGAAAGTCTGAGGACAGTATTTCTGCACAATCATTTGTCTAAAGATGCTGCACCACACCAAAACATTTAGATTTCTAAAATTCTTATAAATAATACGATTGCTATCATACATATCTAACATATATCATGTGCTTACTAGAAATTAATATTTACCAGAATTGCTTGACTTTTGATGCGACTCATGAGGAGTACATTTCTCTGTGTCTAAAGGCTTTCTTCTTGGCCAGATTTCAAAATAAAATCTGGGTTCATAAAGGAGGCATGTTTCTTTTAGAGAGATGGTCTTTTGGGAAAAACTTCTTTAGCAATAAGCTGGTCATAAAATTTCCAGTCATTAGGTTGTAGTGATAATTTTTTAACACAAAAGGTTCTTCCCCCACCCAGTTAAAATTACACGCCAAGCTTTCTGAGATTATCAGTGTTTTTGTAGTCATTTTGAATCTGACCACACTCGAGTGGATACTGATAAATCTATTTCTATTGCTAAAGTAGTCCTTTGTCCTTCACTATTTTGTTTCCCATTTTCTGAGATAATGAGAAACCTAATTATTTTCATAGTATTTCTAGACCATCCTTTGTCTATAACATCTTTGACTAAAGCACCTATAATACATTAAGCGCTTGATATGAAATGCTTACCAAGACTGCTTGCCTTTTGACAGGGAGGTGGTGTGAGGCCCACTGACTTATTAGGATCATAATTCTTTACATCCAAGAGCGTCCTTTCTTTGACAGATTCCCATATAAACTCTGGGTTTGCAATATGGATGTGGTTCTTTTGGAGAGAGTTCAGTTGATACTGGCTCAGAACATCAGCACTGTCTAAGATTATATGTGTGCACTAAGAAAAAAAGAATCAATTCCATATGAATTAGTAAAAAGAAAAATTATTTGTATCTGTAATTTTCACTCTTAAGAAGTCTTATTTGAAGGTAATTTGTAACAATTTTTCTCAGATTTCTAAAACTCTTATAAATAATATAATTTTTAGTTACGCAAAGTTAAAAAAAAAGTTTTTAAAGAGTATGGATGTGGATGTACCATAACTGATTAACCAACCCTAGAGGTGGTTTCCAAATTTTCACTAAACAATGCTGTGCCGAACATCTTCATGTACATATCTTCATACGCTTGTTTAATTATTTCCTTAGGAGGGGAATGAGACGTTCAGAGGGTATTCTTTATTTATTTATTTTAATTGGTAATTTTATTAATTTATTTTTGGATAAACAGTATACACGCATTGCTGAAAATCTAAAAGTAAAATAATAAGTTAAGCAGTGTTCCCAGCTCCTCTCCCCCGGGGCAGCTGTCATGACTTGTTTCTCAGGTGTCTTTCTACAGCTCTTCTATGTATAGGCAACACACATCTAAGCACACAGCCCTTCTTTTAGCCACAAATGGCTGAACACACTGGTCTGTACTTGCTTTTCCACTTAATTTATCTTGGAGATCATTCCTCGCCACTACATATCAAGCTGTCTCCTTCATTATAACAGCTGGTATGCACATTTCAAATGTTTATATACATTGGCAAAATAACTCCCAAAAAGGCTGCACTCACATATGTAAGAATTTCCAAAAAATGAGAGACCATGTTGGCATTCTCTCCCTGGAAGATAAACTGAGAAGGTCTAACAGGCATGAATTATTCATCTATCCACAGAAATGGTGAGACAGGCTGTGTAAGGAAAGTATACACAATTCTGCCTAAACTGGAGGTAAACAGGGACATTCCATTTCTGATATTCATAGGCAAACTACTAAATGCCAGAGAAGCACCAAGCATCCAGCTGGAGTAAAACATGCTACACAGAACAAACCAGCCTCCCCTTCAGCAAGCCCCAGGGCTGTGGCCCAGGAAGCGGAAGGCTGAGTCAACCCCATCAAGAGGGAACCCCCAATGAGGGAAAAGCAACCGATACAGGGAAGGTCCTGCATTTGCAGGCCTGGAATCCAATGGCTCTGGACTTCAATTTTACTTCTCATGATGAGGTGGTTAAAAAAAAGGGGGTTGGCTTTAATTATTTTCAGGATTTCCTCCAACTGTGAAATTCTATATCTAAACTGCCAGACCTACAGTTCATTTCAAGAGAGGGAGGGTAGCTCCCTCCGGCTTTTAAATAAACAAAACAAACAGTACAAGCTGTACCACAAAGATCAGTTCAGACTGCATGTTTTCCTTCTGTCCTCTATGAGTCACACAGACAGTATCACTCCAGTATTGACAGCCTGGTGAGTGACCATATGGAGTGCTTTTAGCAAATGCTGCCCTGTAACTTTTCTCCTTCGAGAATAGATTTGGCTGGTCTGAAATTATTTCTGTTTATGTCTTCAGCTGTGCTCTAATAGTATCAGATTCCATGCATGTGGGCTTGTCCTACAGCTCACGGGAACAGGGGGAAGATGGCACTAGGCGGTGTTCCCTCTTCCGCCTCTCCTCAGCCCAACTTCCCTGGAGGCCCTATCCCAGTTTCTCCTGCCTTCACTAACTTTCTCCTGCTGCCAGTTTTCTCTGCTTACTCTTCTAACCATGACCCCTGCTCCCTTAACGCATAATGTTTATCATACAGTTTTTATGAAATTTGCAAATACCTGAGGATTTAATAAAAAGGAAAATTTTCCACCATTTTCCTTAATGTCAGTTTGTAGCTTTTTCTTCTGTTGACGAGGTAAGTGCTTGACTTTCAAACAGAAGGTACAATTTGCAAAGATTCCTACAGTCATCCTGCAGGAAAAAAAAGTTTCAAGTCAGTTTTTAAGGATTCTCTTTTCAGTAAATATAACTGACAGTGAATTTAGAATTGTTTTACATGTAAACTGTGAGAAAGGCGGACATTATTTTTTAAAAACATATTGCACTTATGTTATGTAGTCATGTGTCACTTAACGATGGGGATACATTCTGAGAAATGTGTTAGGCAATTTTGTCCTGCAAACACGATAGAGTGTACTTATACAAACTTAGATGGTATAGCCTACTAAACGCCTAGGTAGTAATGGTATAGCCTATTCTAGCCTACAAGCTTTAGAGCATGTTACTGTACTGAATACTGTAGGCAACTGTACCACAATGGTAGTATTTGTGTATCTAAACGTAGAAAAGGTATAGTAGAGCCAACCCCGATGGCCTCGTGGTGAAAGTTCAGCACATTCTGCTTCAGCAGCCCGAGTTTGGTTCCTGGGTGCAGAACTACACCACTCACCTGTCACTAGCCATGCTGTGGTGGCAGCTCACATAGATGAACTAGAAGGACTTACAACTAGAATATACAACTACGTACTGGGGTCTTGGGGAGGAAAAAAAAAAGAGAGAGGACAACTGGCAATGGATGTTAGCTCAGGGCGAATCTGTCCCAGCAAAAAAACCCACAAAAGGTCCAGTAAAATCACAGCATAAAGATAAAAAATGGTACACCTGTATAGGGCACTTACCATGAATGGGCCTTGCGGTACTGGAAGTCGCTCTGTGTGAGTGAGTGAGCGAGCGAGCGAGTGGTGAGTGATGTGAGGGCATAGGGCGTTACTGGGCACGACTGTAGACTTCACAAACACTGTACACTTAGGCTCCACTAAATCAGTTTAAAGATACTTATCTTTCTTCAATAATAAATTAACCCTGGCTTACTGTTATTTCTTTACTTCATGAACTTTTAAACTTTTTGACCCTTTTGTAATAACACAGCTTAAAACACATATTGTACAGCTGTACAACAATACTGTCTTTCTTCATACCCTTATTCTATATTTTTTCTATTTAAAAAAAATTTTTTTTTTTACTTTTTAAGCTTTTTGTTAAAAACTAAGACACAAACATACAGAAACACCACTCTGATATTAGGATGAAGATCACCAATAAAGGAAGATATCTGGGAGCATTATCAACAAGAAGCAAAATCTTGAAAAGTATGTTACTCTCCAAACAGTACTTCTCCATTTCGCTGGTACAGCAATTCAGGAGGCCATCTTGGGAGAGGAGCTGGGTCATCCATGACTTCACTGGCAGTGTGTGCTGATCAACACGCTCGAAGGCCGTGGGGTTCTCACTGTGCCAGATCACTTGGGTTTCAATTTGTAGCCTGCAACACTGCCCCCAAGCAAGACTGTTCTCCTGTCCTTAAAAGCCTTGAAACCTGGCACTGACTTGGCCTCCTCATGGCTGAAAGTCACTTCAGCATCTGTTTCGAGAATAGGGAGGTTTCATCCATACTGAATGGTAAGTAATTTTCCTCCACAATCAGCTTATCTAGAGTTTCCAAAAATTCTTCAACTGTCTTCACATCAGCACTCGCAGACTCACCACTCACTTTCTCGTTGTGTAATGAGTAACGATTCTTGAATCCTTCTAGCCACCCAGAGCTAGCAGTGAATTCAACATCACAGTTGGGTCCAGCCTTTTCTTTCAACATTGCGCACAAACTGTTTTCTTTGGTTGTGATCGTCATGGTGCTGAGATACACTTCTGTGTCTGGTCTTCAATCCAGGTTATTAGAACTTTCTCCATGTCGGATAGAGGCCCTTCTTGGGCTTTTGTTAGTCTTGTTACCTTCAATGGAGCAGATCCTTTAACAGCTTCTGTCTCTTTGTTCTCATTCTTCAAAATCGTAGCTATGGTGGAATGGGACATGCCTGACTGGTGAGCAATAACCGTCACTGATTTTCCACCTTTGTGGTCCTTAATCACTTTAATTTTGTTTCCAGGTAAGTCATTCGATGTGGCCTCTTACCAGAAACATTAGCAGTGAATTTTGTATGATTAGGGGCCGTGATAAACAAAACAACACAAGATTAAGTCAAGCACAAGAGAAGATGATGCAATCCAGAGACACCGTAAACACGAGATATATGAGGCTGCTGCTGGCATAACACAGCATTCTGTTTACAGTAAACTTCTTTTCAATCAGTAGAAAGAATACAGTCTAAAATAATGATAAAAAGCATAGCATAGTAAATATATAAACCAGTTACATAGTCACTTATTATAATTATCAAGTATTATGTACTGTACATAGTATGTATGTCCTATACTTTTACTGAACTGGCAGTGCCGTAGGTTTGCTTACACCAGCATCGCCACAGACACGTGAGTAACGCGTTGCGCTACAACAGCATGAGGAGCTGGGGATGTGTCAGCTCCACTGTAACTTTCTGGGACCACTGTCATATACGGAATCCACTGTTGACCAAAACGTAGTTATGGGTACATGACTGTAATCAGAAAAATTTGACATCCTCCGAGCTTGGAATATGTATGTTGGTTTTAGAATCATTTCTATCCTTTAAGGCTGGTATTATGACACTAAAAAATCCTTTTGTATAGGCTCATAACATACCTCTTAATGAACACATGACAGATTTCAGTTACAGATCAAGTGTGTGGTTTATGAATATAGAAGCATTTATTTCTAAATTAACATTATGTGATAGTGAAAGCATGGATTTTTTTCTTTTTTCTTTTTCCTGCTTCTCCCCAAATCCCCCCAGTACATAGTTGTATACTCTAGTTGTGGGTCCTTCGAGTTGTAGCATGTGGGATGCCGCCTCAGCATGGCCTGATGAGCAGTGCCACGTCCGTGCCCAGGATCTGAACCGGCGCAACCCTGGCTGCTGAAGCAGAGCAAGTGAATTTAACCACTTGGCCACCAGGCCAGCCCCGAAACCATGAATTTTTATATATAATTTTTCTATAAATTCAAAGAGACTTATTAGTTATGTGGGTTTCTGTTAAGCCATTCTGGAGAAAAACTGAACAATTAGCAATAAAAATGTACAACTTATGTTTAAATGAAAGACATATATATATATATACACAAACACGTTTGAAGTTGATTTAATTTCTTTAACTATGTCATACATTCCCACATATAGGAAAGAACTATTTCTAAGAAAAGTAAGCATATTTTGAATTGAAAGAAATTTTATGCGTATTTAACAATAAACGAATAAATGGTGAGATATTGGGTTTAATTCACGGTAGCCATTTGTCAGTTTTTTAAAACTGAAGTCATCTCTAGCAGGTTCCCCAGAGTAAGCTGGTGTCTCATGAAACGCAGTTCCTGGGTCTGATTTGCACTCAAAGAAAGTTAGCTAGCAGGTTCCTGGCAGGCTCTAGGACGGCCCATGCTGCAGGCTCCAAGGGCGCCTACTGGGCCCAGCTCCCGAGAACACACTTAGGGTTCCGCGTTCCTCCTGCTCCATCTGCCTTTGAACGTCCCATTCTCCCAGGTTGGCGTCCCCACTCCAGGCCCTTTGCCTGAGCAATGTGCCCATTCCTTGAGGCCCTGAATGCTGTCTATATATGCAGACAAAATGCCCACTACCTCCCCAAAGCAGGCACCTCAGATGTGCCAAGTTCCCAACCTAGGCCTCCCCGTGCACCCCTCTTTGGCAAGTGGCTGCCATGTCTAGCTGGAAGCTAAACCCACCAGGTGCTATCCTTGATTTCTCCCCCTCTTCCCCTCCTGCCATCAGCACCTCTTGTCTTCACTGCCCCAGAACAGAGGTAGAATCTCCCCACTTTCTCCATCTCCACTGCCTCCTTGGCCCAAGCCCCCATCAGCAGATTCCTTACTCGTCTCCCTACTTCTGCTCCTCTCTGCCTCTAATCTCTTCTCCAAGCTGTAGCTTGAGTAACCTTTTTTTTTTTTGAAAATTACATTTCAAATGAAATTCAAATTTCTTACTTCAGGGCCTGGCCTCTCTCCCCAGCCTCATCCTCCACCTCTCTCTCTCTCTGCCCTGGTCACACTGGCTTTTTCTTCAGGTTGGCAAAAACCCCAAGCTTGGTCCTCAGGGCCTTCACACATGCTGTTCCTTCTCCCGGGGACCCTTCCCTGCTAACCCACCCCACACTTGTATATCCCACCCAGGACCCGGTAGTATCTGTCCAACAAACGGACAAATTAGAGGTTCACACTTTTTTTTTTGTTTTATGGGTTCTGGTTAAACTGAAGTCCCTCAACTTAATTCTGTCTTTCCATAGCATTAATATTTACTAGTTTCATATGTGTTGATTGTTTTATACATTCAAATTTATTCATAATTATCATTGTTTATAGATGGGCGAGATGATGATGGATACTGTGAAAGATGCTAGACTACACTATTTAGGTTAATCTGTCTTGCTCTTAATCTCTGAAAGTTAAATAGCAAACAACAAACAAAACACTAAAACTCTCTAATGACTCTTCAACAATTTTCAGGACAGCCTCTATGCTGGACAGGGCAGGCTAAGCGGGCGTGGCTGCTCAGATCCACTTCTGACTTGTCCTCCATGAGTTCTTAAGTCCTCTGACCTGTCGTTTAAAAAATGTTTTCTAATAGAAATGTAATTCATTCTCACCTTAGAAAATACAGAAATGTGTAACAACAGCAAAATAATCTCAAAACCTAGGGGCCATGTTAACTTTTTTTGTGGCTTTTTTTTTCCAGGCTTTTTTTTATGTGTATATACTGTAATGGGCTATATTATTATCAAAATTGAAATCATACTATATTCACGATAACTATCTTGCATTTTATGTCAGGGTTTTATCTTTAGCATTTTATCATTAGACATTCTTGGAAACATTTTTAATAGAGGCTACCTTAGATATGCACCATAAATGAACTATTCCTATATTGTTGGGTAATCAAATTGTTTCTAAATTTTAGTATTAAAAACAAAGCTGTGATGTACATCCTTATATGTAAATTTTTGTTTGCAACTCCAACGATTGTCTTAGAAAACAAAGTCTTTAACAGTACTCAGTCAAAGAGTTTAAATAATTTTTATTCTTGTGAAATTATATTACTTTTCAGTTTTAGCTTAAATTGTATTACTTTCATTTTGCTTAAATTTCCTAATGTATTAGGAAATTCCTATGTATTTGTCTTTTTAAAAATAACTTCTCCCCCAAAGTTAACCATTATGAAGAAAAATAAAAAACACCCACAGTGATGGAAATGTTCTAAACTAGATTGTCATGATGGTGCACAACTTGGTGAATTTATTGAAATAAATCTTTGAATCATAAAATTAAAACGAGTGAATTTAATGATATGTAATTTTATTTAAAATCTTTGAATCATACAATTAAAATGAGTGAATTTAATGATACGTAAATTATACCTCAATAAAGGTGTTTCTAAAAAAAGCATCTATGATCTCTCCATCTAGAAATAAGCCCACTGTTGATATTTTGATATCTCTTTCTGGTATTATTTTTTCCTGTATCACTTATATTTTATGTTATTTTTATAAAAATACATATTACTTATTAATATTGTTTACTTAATTTTATAGCCAGTTTCTCTCATCTTTTTTTCTTTTTGAGGAAGATCAGCCCTGAGCTAACTACTGCCAATCCTCCTCTTTTTGTTGAGGAAGACTGGCCCTGAGCTAACATCCGTGCCCATCTTCCTCTACTTGATATGTGGGACGCCTACCACAGCATGGCATGTCAAACGGTGCCATGTCCACACCCAGGATCCGAACCGGCGAACCCTGGGCAGCCGAGAAGCGGAACATGGGAACTTAACCGCTGCGCCACCAGGCCGGCCCCCTCTTAACTAACTTTTAATGAGAATTTTCCCATATCACTAAATATTCTTTGAAAATATTTATAGTAGCTACATAAGCTTGGTGTTATTTAACTCTTCTCTAAGTCCTCAGATATTTGGTTATTTAAAATTGTTCATTACCATAAACACACTTTGAGGAAAATATTTGTACACACATTTTTGGCGAAATCTCTGTCACTGTTTCCTTAGAATATAAAGTTATAAGTGGAATTAGCGGATCAAACACTATAGATACTTTTCAGCCTTTTTGTGTGTGCGTGTGGTAAAATGTACCTAACATAAAATTTATGCTTTTAGCCATTTTTAAATGTACAGCTCAGTGGCATTAAGTACATTCACATTGTTGTGAAGCCAGAGCATAATAAATATTATAAGCATAAATCTCTGGCCCATTCTTAGCGGCTGAGGCCACGTGGGAGGTAGAGAAACTAACACTCCAAATTCTGTGAAATCTCAAGTCAGGCCTTGGCTTCTCTCTTCCTGCCCACGGTACCTGGGGTCTCTCTCAAGGCCTAGCCTCTTGGAGTCAGCAGCTTCCTGACAGACCCGCGCCACTAGTCTCTTCCTCCTTTGCAAGCTTTCTCTAAGCAACAGTCAGCTTCCGTTCCTGTTTCCACCAGGGCTTCTGTATGTATGAGATCTGTTGGGTGTCCTCCACCCCTCAGGCCCTGTTTTAGGGGCACCAGACAATGGCACACAGCCCCAGCTCCTGAGAAACTCAGCATTCCCTTCACAAATTCAGGGCTACACAATCCAGAAACCAATGGAGCAGCTGGGAGCAAGAGGCTTCCTGCCTCAGTTTCATGTCTTTAACAACTGGCATTTTCTTCTGTCAAGAGCCTCAGGGTCTCCCTATGCAGAAAGCCTTGCTGGAACTCCCCTCGCTCTGATTCGCTGCCTGGCTGTGCCCTCCCGACAGCCCCACAGCAGGCAGGTTTAAGCACACACCTCTCTACAATCACTGGCTGTTTTCCACTCTTAACATTATCAGTTTCTCCAGAAGGGCCAATCCTACGTGACAGGCTGTGCCCTGTTTACCTTTCTATCCCTAGAATCTAGACCACTTTTGGTACACAGTAGGCATTCAATACATGCTTGCTTACTAGAATTCTTTCACCTATCAATTAAGGGCTAGGATTACAGAAAAGCCTTTTGACACTATTTGCATATTCGGACTCCAATGGGGTCAATACCGCACCTCCCTAATGGGACTATCAACCCCTAAGAAGGCCACCTCCGTCGGCACTGCTCCCACTTCCACGGCATGCTACAGCGGAGCATACAGAGGGGACCCAACAAGTGCTAACTGAAGAAACGGTCGTCACATATAATGAAAGAATCCGCAACATGCTCATATTCAGAGAGAGTTTCTCCTTTATCTTAACACCACATTTTAAATGTTTTTATATGTTTATTGTCATTTGGCAATCCAGAATCGAAAGGCTGAACATTCAGCAAAGCCCTGTTTTTCTAGAAGCCGACATTTACCCACTCAGTCCCCTAGATGAGTCATTCGGAATTATCCGTAGAATATTTAACTGATTTCCAGGTTTTCAATGTTGTACTTCAACAAGCACGTTAAGTGTTTCTATCACGGTGTTCCTAACTACTCACGAAGTCAGATTATATTCCCTGATAGTTCACTAAAATACTTTATTTTTTGCAGAAGTTTCCTTTGAAATCTAACTTTCAGAACAAAGGCTGTCTGGCATATTAGAGATAAGAAACACCGAGGTCTGCAATGCGCTCATTCTGCAGAGCGCGGGACGCGTCCAGACACCCGGACCGAGCGCCGACTCTCCCGGGTGTCTCCGACCTGTTCCGTCGCGAGGCCGCGCCCGCACCAGATCGCCGCAGCGTCGCGAGCCCGCGCCCGCGCCAGATCGCCGCAGCGTCGCCCGGCCGCGCCCGCGCGAGCACCGCCAACCCCCAACAGCCAGCCCTCGAAGACCGCTGCGCGACCGCGTCGGCGAGGCGGACGGAGTGAGCCCGTTTCTCCTGCGGGAGGTCGGTGCGGCCACCTTCCCCGCCCGACCACCGGCACCCTCGACGGCGACCGGCCTGGGCCGGGGTGGTCGGCCGCAAGCGGCGCCCACGCACCTTCCTGAGAATCTGGCCCGCTCCTGTTCCCCGCTCCTGCTCCTGCTCCCCGCTCCGGGCGCTCCCCGCTCCTGCTCCCCGCTCCTGCTCCCCGCTCCTGCTCCCCGCTCCGGGCGCTTCCGGATCCCGGGCGCTCCCCGCTCCTGCTGCCCGCTCCGGGCGCTTCCGGATCCCGGGCCCCTGGGCTCCGGGCGCTGACCTGGGGCGCGGCTGGGAGGGGCCGAGCCAGCGAGAGCGCTGCCGGAACCCCGCCCTCGGCTGCCTCCTAGGCTGCGCCCCGCACCCCGCCGACCGCGGGCTCCTGCGAGGACGGTCGCGGGGCTGCGCTGGAAATTAGGCGGCGGGCTGGGGCTGGGTTTCTCTTCTGGGGTCAGCCCAACGGTTCAGGATTTTTCAGTTTCATCTTTCAGGCGAGATTTGCCCAATGAGGGTAACTCCAAAGTTGGAGTTTGGGAAAAGCGGATGGATGGTGCTGCAGTTTAACCGAGGAATGAAGGGAATTCCAGGGAGCTGGAAAGAAATTTCTGGACGGTTTGGGATTGGGGAAACAGGAGGGTAAGATAATGAATTTAGTTTAGGACTTCCTGAGTTTGACATTCATGGTAGTGTTCCTCCGTAGTTAGAAATCTATATCTGCCATTCCAGAGAGGTGGAGCTGGAGATTCATTGAGTACAGGGTAAAGTAATGGGAAAGAATAAAATCCCGCAGATACTGAAGAAAATGAGAATAGAAAAGATGTAGAAACGGTATGGATTTGAAACCTGATTCTACTCTTTGTTACCCAGGGGATTGTAGACAAGGTACTTTACTGGGGCCCACATTTCATCATTACTGCCTACCTTACAGGGTTTTATAAGAATCAACTTAAGTGTTAGCTTACATCAGCAAAAATGATGCAGTACGGAGCACAGGGTCCATCCTTCTTCCAAGATCATTTTTAAAGGTTAACAGCAATCAAGTAAGTGTGTACCCAGGAGAAAGGCCACTGAAACAAGGTGGGAGACCTTTACCTGTTTGAACTGACTCCAGCTGCGCTTCCCTTGGCCACCCTCTGACGAGTGTGGGTAACCTGGTTCTGGAGGGAGCACAGTTCTTTGTCCTAAAGAGTTGTGTTTCTCTGTCTCGACCTGGCTGGGGGCTCCCTGAAGGCAAGGGGCTTGACTTTCTTTTCCCCAACTCAGACTCTCTCAGGGCGGAAAAACAGCTACTTGGAGGGTGTACCTCAAAAACATTGAAAAGCAAATGAACAACCACTGCTGCCTGAGGCAAACAACAGACAGGCTGAAGATGTAGGAGAAACAGCATGAGAGGAAAGGTCAGGAGTTAAGATTTTATTTTTGGAGATTAAGGGCTTTGAAAGGCTCCTATGTATACTAGAGCATCTAGGAAGCTGCACATAGGCCCACGGCAGGACCCACGCTCAGAAAAGACTTGAGAATGCCATAAGATTTCACCTCTGGCTGGTTTTTAGGCTCAGCACAGCGGGAAGTGGAGATTAAGGCCAAGTTATAAATGGCCTACTTAAACGTAGGAGGAATGCCCCTATACAGAGCCAATCTGCAAAGACCTGGAGAGTATTTTTTTTTTTTCTTCCTTCTCTCTCTCTTTTTTTTCCTTTTTTATTTTTACCACCCGGCATTTAAGAAAAGCTCCGTCAAACCACTAGAAGCACTAAACTAAAGGAACACAGACTTGAGAGAGCACAGATGACAAAGAATACAGCTTTACAAAAATAGTTTCTAAAAGTCACTAAACAAACTACAACCCACAGCAAGCAACAACAGGAAATCCTGGGGAGGAGAAAGAATCTGATTTCTAGAGTGGCCACATTACAATACTAAAAATGTCCAGTTTACAACAGAAAGTTAGGAAGCACATAAAGGAACTTGAAAATATGGCCCATTCAAAGGAAAAAAGAAATGAACAGAAACCGTCCCTGAGGAAGCACAAACATAGGACTTATTCAACAAATGCATTAAATAAACTATCTTCAATATGCTGAAAGAACTAAAGGAAAATATGGACAAACAACTAAAGGAAACCAGGGAAACAATGTCTCAACAAGTAGAGAATACTAATAAAGAGACAGGAATTATAAAAAAGAACCAAATAGAAATTTTGGAGAGCGAAAGTATAATAACTGAAATTAAAAATTCACTAGAGGTGCTCAGTAGTCGATGTGAGGAAGCAGAAGAATGAGCAAACCTGAAGGTACGGCAATTGAAATGATCACGTCTGAGGAACAGAAGGAAAAAAGAATGAAGGAAAAGTGTACAGAGCCTAAGGAACCTGTGAGTAATCATCAGTGGTACTAACGTATGCACAGTGGGAGTCCCAGAAAGAAATGAAAGAGAGAAAGAATATTTGAAGAAATAATGGTCAGAACTCCACAAATTTGATAAAAGATAGGGAGGAACACATCTAAAATTCTCTATGAACTCCAGGTAGGGAAGCTCAAAGAGATCCACGCCAAGACCCATTATAATCAAATTGCTGAAAGACAAAGAGAGAATCTTGAAAGCACCAAGAGAGGAGCAAATTGTCCCATATGTGGGATTATCAAAAAAGATCAACAGGCAGTTTCTCAGCAGAACTGTGGAGGCCAGAAGGCCGTGGAATATATTTAAAGAACTGAAGGGAAAAAAAACCTAGAAACCAGGAATTCTATACCCAGCAAAACTGTCACCCAGAAAACCTGAAAGAGAAATTAAGATGGTTCCAGATAGATAAAAGCTGTAGGTGTTCACTGCTAGTAGGTCTGCTTTCCTGGAAATGCTAAAGGGAGTCCTTTAAGCTGAAATGAAGAACACCAGACAGTAAATTGAAGTCAAATGAAGAAATAAAGAAACTGATAAAGGTAACTATATAGGTAAATATAAAAACCTATAGTATGCTATTTTTGGTTTGTAAGTACTCTTTTTTCCTATATGATTTAATAGACAAACACGTAAAACAATAATTATAAGGCTATGTTAATGGGCACAGGATGTATAATGATGTAATTTGTGACAATAATAGATAAAGGGGAAGGGATGGAGACGTACAGGAGCATAGTTTTTGTATACTATTTAATCTAAGTTACTATTAATTCAAATCAGGTGGTCATAAGTTTAAGAAGCTAATTGTAACCCCTAAGGTAACCACAAAGAAAATTTTAAAAATATATGGAAAAGTTAATAGGAAGGGAATCACAATGGCATATACCAAAAAAATCAATTAAACACAAAAGAAGACAGTTATGGAGAAACTGGAGAACAAAAAAGATATAAGCCACTTAGGGAAAAAACCCAAAATGGCAGAAGTCTGTCGTTAGCAGTAATTACTTAAACTCTCCAAATAAAAGGTAGACATTGGCGGAAAGGATTAAAAAAAAAATGACTCAACTATATGTTTCCACAAGAAATTCACCTTACATCCAAAAACACAAGAGGTTGAAAGTGAAAGGATGGAAAAAAAGACATTCCATGCAAACAGTAACCAAAAGAGAGCAGAAAAGCCTATACCAGACAAAATAGATTTTAACTCAAATGATTACAAGAGACAAAGGACATTATATATTAGGAAATGAGTCGATACATCAAGAAGATAGAACAATTATAACTATGTACTCATCTAACAACAGAGCCTCAAAACATGAAGCAAAACTTGACATGACTGAAGGGAGAAATAGTTCTACAATAATACTTGGAGACTTCAATACCCAACTTTCAATACGTGATAGAACAACTGGAGAGAAGATTAATAAGGAAATAGAAACGATAGACCAATGAGACCTAGAAGACATATACAGAACACTTCACACAACAACAGCAGAATACATACTTTTTTTGTTGGCATTTTTTAAAAAACTTGAGTTCATAATAGTTTACATCGTTGTGAAATTTCAGTTGTACATTATTTCTTGTCTGTCACCACATAGGTGCTCCCCTTCACCCCCTGTAACCACCCCCTACCTCCCTTTCCCAGGTAACCACTGAACTGTTTTCTTTGTCCATGTGCTTGTTTATATTCCACATGTGAGTGAAATCCCCTGGTGGTTGTCTTTCTCAGTCTGGCTTATTTCACTAAGCATAATTCCCTCCAGGTCCTTCCATGTCATAGCAAGTGGGATGAATTTGTCTTTTTTCTGCCTGAGTAGTATTCCATTGTATAAATATACCACATCTTCTTTATCCAGTCGTCAGTTGATGGGCACTTGGATTGTTTCCATGTCTTGGCTATTGTGAATAGTGCTGTGTTGAACATAGAGGTGCATATGTTACTTTGGATTGTTGATTTCAAGTTGTTTGGGTAGATACCCAGTAGTGGGATAGCTGGGTCATAAGGTAGTTCTAGTTTTAGTTTTTTGAGGAATCTCCACACTGTTTTCCATAGTGGCTGCACCAGTTTGCATTCACCACCAGTGTATGAGTGTTCCCTTTTCTCCACACCCTCTCCAACATTTGTTATTTTTAGTCTTAGTGATTATAGCCATTTTAACAAGTGTAAGGTGGTATCTTAGTGTAGTTTTGATTTGCATTTCCCTGATGATTAGTGATGTTGAACATCTTTTCATGTGCCTGTTGGCCATCTCTATATCTTCTTTGGAAAAATGTCTGTTCATATCCTCTGCCCATTTTTTGATCGTGATGTTTGTGTTTTTGTTGTTCAGTTGTGTGAGTTCCTTATATATTATCGGGATTAACCCCTTATTGGATATATGATTTTCCAAAATTTTCTCCAAATTGGTGGGTTGTCTCTTTGTTTTGATCCTAGTTTCTTTTGCCTTGCAGAAGCTCTTTAGTCTGATGAACTCCCACTTATTTATTTTTTCTTTTGTTTCCCTTGTCTGAGAAGACATGGTATTCGAAAAGATCCTTTTAAGTTCCATGTCAAAGAGTGTATAACCTATATTATCTTCCAGGAGTTTTATGGTTTCAGGACTTATCTTCAAGTCTTTGATCCATGTTGAGTTAATTTTTGTGTATGGCATGAGATAATGGTCTACCTTCATTCATTGGCATGTGGCTGTCCAGTTTTCCCAGCACCATTTATTGAAGAGACTGTCTTCTCTCCATTGTATGTTCTTGGCACCTTTGTCGAAGATTAGCTGTCTGTATATGTGTGGTTTTATTTCTGGGCTTTCAGTTCTGTTCCTTTGATCTTTGTGCCTGTTTTGTACCAGTACCATGCTGTTTGGGTCACTATGGCTTTGTACTAC